CATTAAGCTAAAGTGGGACGACTTGATACAAACTTTAGAGAAATCACCACAATGGTTACAGAAAGATTACCAGCGACATCCAAACTGCAGACCAGGAGAATCCAGCACACTGTCCCCACCTGCCTCCATTCCATCTGAGGATGCTTCAAACCAGACACCTAGAAATCTTCTCAACTGGCTGCCACTGGAACTCAGAAACCAGGATTACAGTCTGCTCCAGGCATTAAGCATTATTTTCTTTTCGTTTCCACAGACGTGCCTTATTAAATTCCTGACTGCCTGCACCACAGGCCTAACTTTGGAAGCCCACCTGCACCACCATCTCCTGAAATGAGATACAACTGTTTAACTGAACGGACCTATTTTTGAGCCCCAGACAGGTTTGCTGAGATACGGAACAATCTATCAACACAACATCTGGAATGTGAAACTTCCCGGGAGGTGTCAGAGGTGGGACCCAATGACTCAGAACAGGCCTCCCCAGAGCGTGCCACTTGGCATAGGAATTATTTGGGGCAGAAAGCAGTGCAGACCTGCAGGCTCATGACTTTTATCTCTCCCTTGAAGAATTTATATTTGGGGCCTTGCCCATAACAAGGGTTATTGCCAGATAACTTTTTATAACCTATCTATAGGGCAAAGCAAACCTCTAATTACTGAACTCTGCTCTTATTTCGTCATCCTGTGAATGGCTTCCTCCTTTCTGAAAACCTTTCTGAAAAACTCCCCTCATTCCTTGGCTCAGGATGCCATGTAAATCTCATTTTAACTCTGTCTCCGACTCTCACCTATATGTGGGGTCCCTGTATGTACATACGTAATTCAACTGGGTTTTTTTCCTCTTGTCAACCTGTCTCACATCTATTAGCTCACACCAGCTGAAAGAACCTGGAAGCGCAGAGGAGCTCCTTCCTCCCCCAGACTGTCCAGTGCATGCTGCTCTGCAAGTCAAAGCCGCACCACCGCTGTCAACGGCTGTGCTGCACCTCACTGCGTGTCCTGCCCAAACTTTACCTAACTAATCCCGTACTGATGGACACTGATGTAGTTGCTAAGCATGTGACATTATAAACAATCCTGCTCATGATGAATATCCTTACGCAAACATCTTTTCACAATTGGGTAGTTTACATTTTGATACACATTGCCAAAGATCTTTCCAGAAAGTTTCTCAAGCTATATTCCCAGCAACAGAACATAAAAGTTCTCCATTTCCTTACATATTTGCCAACCTAGTGGACAACAAGAAGTGCACATTTCTTTTTTTCAATAATTAACGTAGTTAACACCATTTAATACACATACTGGACTTTCCTATGTCTCCTTTTGTGACACACCTTTCATATGTCTGGCCCAGTTTTCCACTGGGGTATTCATATTTTCCTGTTGTGGATATCAACACTTCGTCATGTTCACATTGACTGTTTTTTTCCAGACAAAACTCTGAAATATATCTTTTCTTTTCACTCCCTTGACCCAAATGCCTGCATCTTTCTCCACCAAAGAGCCTGCTAACTGGTCCACCCGCAGGACCCTCTCTCTCTGTCCAGCCTCAGGGGGTTGCCCGAATTCTTTTCAATATGCCAATCACAACATGCCTCCCCTCTGCTCAAATATCTCCCCGCACACACTTCACCCAAGTCTGCCCCCCGTCAGCAATTTTTCTTTTTTTCTTTGTTGTTTGCGTAAGTTCTTTTCTTCTCACTTTTTGCCTTGGCTTTGGGCGGGTTCTTGGGGGGGTTAGTGTGGGCTTCTAGACATAAATGGGGTGGGGGTTGGGGGGGTTTTGTTTGGGGGGGAATGTGAAAGGTAGGTTAGTTAACCTGGTAATTTTCTCCAAAAACGAGCTTTGAAGAAGGTTTGGGGGGGTTGGGGGGGGTTTGGGTGGGGGGGGGGTGTCTCAGTGGTGGTTGGTGTTTGGGTTTTGGTGGTTCCCAGTCGTTTCATTGGCTTGGCTTGCTCAGTCCCTGACAGCCTGACTAGCTCCAGGTAGGGGGACAAGATCTGAATGTAAGAGCCTGAGCTGTGGCGACCTCACAGGTGCTGCCTACCTGCCCAGTGCCTGCCTCCGTTTCAAAACGCATCCATCTTCCTCACTGAAGATGTTCTCTTAGGAAAAAAGCATTTATTTATCTCTGACTTCTTGGGTTCGGCATAGGATGTCTAACCCAGAAAGAGTTTTGCACTTCAAGAGCTAAGAGATGACAGTCACCGTTTTCCAACCGAGTGTGCCCTGCACTGTTGTAGTCGGTGCCTCCTGCTCTGGCCCTCACAGCAGAGGTGAGCCGGCTCCACCAGGCAGGCTCTCCCCAGACTTTCCCCTCTGCCCGGGGCGCAGCCATGTGGCACGCCAACTCTTCCCACAATACTGTGCACCTGTGTGTATTTTCTGTGCTACAGCAGGTGGGTCGTAATCCTGCCCTCGAAGAGCCCGATGTTTTTTTTTTTTAAAGGTTTTATTTATCCTCAGAGGGGAAGGGAAGGAGAGAGGGAGAGAAATATCAATGTATGGTTGTCTCTCATGCGTCCCCTGCTGGGAACTGGCCTGCAACCCAGGTATGTGCCCTGACTGGGAATCGAACCGAGATCCTCTAGTTTGCAGGCCCACTCAGTCCACTGAGCTACACCAGCCAGGGCTGAAGAGCCCAGTGTTTTGATGGGTTTGAATTTTTTTTTTTAATTGTGCTCTTTGGAAGGAAGTAGCCTACATTTAAAGATTGAGGAGTTATGATCTACCTCCATGAGAGTGGAATATCTTTTGGGGGGGTTTTGTTTCATTTTATTTTTCTCAAGTTTTGCTGTTAAATTTCTTTACTTTACATTTTTTTAATTGTATATTTTCCAGGTAGGTTTGATTTCTTACTTGTAAGTCATAACAAACCAGTTCACACAGCCCTTCTGGTGTCCTTTTTCACCCATCATATATCTTCCACTTCCCTCTTCTGCCTCTTTTAAAGGAGAGAGTGGAGAAGAGTTTGCTAGGATTATGAACAGAGGGCTTCTATTCCTCTTTATCCCCCATTTCAAGGTGATGTATCAAAAAGACCAGAGGCCTCACTAACACCTTACACGTAGAAGACAAAACCAAGAAGTGTCCCATTTCTGGCACTCCTCAGCATAACCAAGGTGCCTCAGCTCTCCCCCACCTCCCCCTCTCCCAAGATCTGCCCTTCCCAGCCGCCATGCTGTTTACAGGCGGATGTGTAAGCACAGAAACTCCGATCTCTGCTAGCACGTCTCCGCTGCACTCCAGGCCCAAACGACTGTCCAGCTGCCTCCTCCTCATCTGCACTTAGATGTCGCATTGACATCTCAGAGCCCACATGTCCAAAATCGAACTCTTGATCTGTTCCTTCCGCAGTCTTCCCGTTTATCATCCTTCCAGTTGTTTCTGCCTCCTTTCTCTCAACCCCCACATCCAATCATGAGCAAATCGCATTGACCCTTGCTTCAAAATACATCCAGAATCAGACCACTTCGTCACCACTTCAAAGGGAGTGAAAGAGAAACATCAATGTGGGAGAGATACATTGATTGGTTGCCTCTCACGCACCCCCAATTGAAAACCTGGCCACAACGCAGGTATGGGCCCTGCCTGGGAATCGAACCGGTGATATTTCAGTTCACAGGCCCGCATTCAATCCACTGAACCACACCAGCCAGGGCCAAACCTTTTCTTTTTTAAAGCTTCTCAGCTGACTAAAACACACAGGTAGGCTGAAAATCCACGCCTTCCACAAACCCCAGTTGCCTCTGATGGCACCCGCCCCATTCCTTCCTACTCCCAGCGTCCTGGCTCTGCCTCAGCCACTCTACTCCTGGCATTTCTCCAGCATGTCTGAAACTGTCCTGCTTTGTATCCGCCATTCCCTCTTCTGAGGACGCTCTTCTCATGGATAGCAACAATGGCTTGTTTGCTCCCCACATTCGGATATCCATTATAGATGTCTCCTCCTCAGTGAGGCCTTCCCAGATGAGTCCCCACACAAAGGGCAGCTCCCTGTCTGCACTCTGTCCCTCTAGCCTGCGTTTAGCTCTTCATTGCACTCGCCCTCACCTTACAGTTACACAGTTGTTCTGTCTCCTCCATTTAAATTTTAGCCCCTCAAGAGCAGGGGCTCAGTCCACCTCACTCATTTCTGTATGCTCAGGACCAAGAACAGTGCATGGTGCTCAGTAACTGCTCAGTAAATATGTGTTAAGTGTATGAATTACATTTCACAGAACTTATAATAATGTCTGTAGAAAAACTGTATAAAGATTCATTTTCATTAAACTCATACCCTGTAAGGCATTTGCTTTAAGAAAGCAAATTACTTTGAGAAAAACTTACATTAAAAAAAAGTCTAAAACAATATAAACCAACCTATTATGTTATTCAATAGACAATTTAACAGAATTATTAAATAACCTACATTAGAATATTTTTCTTAGAAAAATAACAGGTTTATTTTTAAGTGCTCCTACCCAAAGGCCTAAAAGGTCCACATTTTTACTTTTCTGATCTTAAACGAAAGAATCTAATCTGCCCCATCTAATCCTGAGTCCTCTTTATCCCTGAAGCTGGTTTTTCTGGAGATGACAATGCTTAAGTTATAAGTACTGGTTCTAGAAAAGAAAGTGGGAAAAAATCCTCTGCCTGTGTTACCTTGGTATGTTTCACTTTGCTTCCTTTTCTGAAAAAAGTATCTTGATAATCTTGAATGCTGTGGTAAATTAAGAATGAAACACGGCACCACACTCAGACTTGCACTATTTCATGTTAGCAGATATATTTCCCTAGATGAAAGTGCTCAGTAAGTAATCTCTGTTTTGCTCATCTACAGAGTGTGATTTCCCCACAGATGCTGACAGCATTCTGCTTGGGCTTAGACAATTAAAAAATTACCACCTAATTCACAACAAACAAGCCCGAGAAGAAAAATGCAACAAGCACTTCATGCCTCATTGTCCTGAAAACATCACGTATGCTAGAGAGGAAGGGTCAGATGGAGTCTTACCTGTGTGTGTTCGGAGGTGTTTCTTTAGCTGAGACACGTCCATGAATTTGCGATGGCAGTGGCTGCATTCCGGTAATGAGTGGCCTTGTCGCAACAATAAAAAAAGTGTCAGTGCATCTTTCTGCCACCGTGGAGCCCGTGGGGCCTGCTGGGAACAGGACTTCTATAACAACCAGTCTGTCTACAAGGCTGTGGCCCAAGGCTATTTCTGCTGGCTATAAGTGGGGTCTCCGGAACCAGAGGGAGCATACAGCTCTTGTGAAAACGGAAGGTGTTTATGCTCGAGATGAAACAGTTCTATGTGGACAAGAGATGTGCTTGTCTGTACAAAGCAAAGAGCAACACAGCGATGCCTGGTGGCAAACCGAACAAAACCAGAGTCATCTGGGAAAGGAAGCACGTGCTCATGGAGACAGTAGATGGTGCACCCTAAATTCCAAAGCAGCCCTCCTGCTGAGGAATCTGTGTAATGCTGTACCCCTCATAAACTCAAACTTATTGATGCGTAAATAAATAAGAGTGGATTTGTTCCCTTGGGGAAAAAAGTGTTAGTGCATATATGCTCTCCCTGCATTTCTTCAGTGATTTGTGTTATGGCACTTCCCTGAAAAGTAATCACTTTAAATATGGTGCTTTAATAAAACCACTATAATTTTTAAATTAATTTGGTAACAGTTGATATTTTTCCTATGTATCTCAATTTACTGCTTCCTAAGAAAGCTGGGACCCTTCCAACTCCCTAAATATATTCTCTTTCCTTGAAAGCACTGGTATGACTGGCCAATTAATCTCACATGACACTCCCAACCCCCATTCATTCCCTATCAGTTGTAAGGAAAGAAGAAAAAAAAAACAGCCAGTAGGTGGAGCCGGGGTGGAAAAAGCCTGGACTGACAGCTACTGGGCGGTGACGTCCTTCTCTGTGCCACTAACAACCAATCCACTGGCACCCACAGTCAAGTGGCACTTTTGAGATACCAGTCTGTAGGGTTTTTTGTGTGTGGCACCAAAACTGTAGTATGAAAATTGAATGAAAATCACAAGGTAGTGAGAATTAACACATGAACATCTAATTTAGATTGTTTTTTTAAGACTTTTTCCTAAATACTCATTTATCTTCTACAATATAACCTAATGTTTCAGAAATAGGTTGTATTTGCATTTCTCCCCCACCAATGCAAATTTGCTTGCACTTTATTGTACCTGTATGAACTCGGTAATGGCTCTTTAGTTGTCTTTTCTGGCTGAAATATTTTCCACACTGATCACAGGTAAAAGACTTCTGTCCTGCCAAATGAAAAACAAAACACTGAAGTGTGCAAAAAACTATGAAGAACAAGGACGCTCACAATCGGGCCCAGGTCCCCATAGTCTACAAATGATACAAGTGACTTGTCTACAAACCCAAATGCCTTCACACTCTACCACAGTAACATAAATGTGCAAAGGCATAGGGCAATAGGGAGTGGTGGAGAATGTGGTAGAACTGATGAATTCAAGTTTCTCCTAAAGGCATCCAATGTAAAATTCTAAGTTCAAGTGGTTAATCAAAACATGTTTGCACACTGAATTTCTGACAGCCAGTTTATAATTTGCCCTAGTTTAAGGCTTGATGCTGTGCAGAATTCTAACCTACACTCTTAACAGTTGCTTAACTGTCTCTCGATGACACTGGGCTGAGAAGACTATTTTGATCATGGTAATGCCCACTCTGGGAATAGGAACCTGATGGTAGTTGGCCCTCTGGTCCAAGCCGGGCTACCTGAGTGCAGGCTCATGTGCTCCAGCAGTGAGTGCTTGGTGGTGAGAGCCTTGCTGCACACGGTGCATGTATATGGCCGTTCTCCTGTGTGTATCCGGGTGTGGACCTGCAGGGAGTGCTTCTGGGTAAAGCCTTTTCCACATTCATTACATTTGAAAGGTCGCTCCCCTGGAATAAGAGCCCCAGAAAAGTGGTATAAGTAAGAATGTGCACATCTTTCTGTTCACTTGCTGATTAAAATGACAATAATGGCACATATCCAAAAGACCAATGAACAGGGGAAACAAGTATTAGCAATCAAATTTTGCAGGCTGGAACAGATGAATCCAATGCCAGCAGTGAGGAACACTGAGATACAACCTAATTTTTAAGACAGCCCTCCATGACTCAGGACTTGGTGGCACACGTTATCTCTGAAAATGGGGGCAAGGATGATAAATGACAGTCTGTTTCAAAGGTAGTTAGACCCCTCAGATCCAGTCTCCTACTCCATGGAGCTGGGACACCAACCAGCCTCTCCCCAAAAGAAGATGGAGACTATTCTCTGTGGAGGGTACAACAGAGGGGCTCTGGACTAGGGGGGTCTTGGATTAGAGGTCTCCCAGTACTATGGGGGGAGAATAGGTCCAAGTATGTATCTGGGATGCTGACATTCCCCTCAGCCTTCTTCTCCCTCCTGCTATAGACACTGACAATGAGGAAACTATTGCCTTCAGGTGGGAGATTGGAGTCTACCTAGAATGTGAAAAGTCAGAGGTAAAGAAAGCATCAGCAAGGAAGTGAGGGCCAGCCATGCCACCCTCAGGGAGGCTGCTGTCTACAGGCTCTCTCCATACCTGCAGGGCTGCTAGTGGCTTTAAAGAAACCATTTTTACAAGAGCATGTTTTTTTAATGTTTCAATCATTTATCTGAAAGCAAAGTGATTTAAAAATGTTTTTAATCCTCACATGAGAATATTTTATTGATTTTTTAGAGAGAGAGAGAAACAGACAGATAGACAGACAGACATCTGTGTGAGAGAGAAACACTGATTGGTTGTTTCCTAGGTGTGTGCCCTGACTGGGAATCAAGGCCACAAGCTTTTGGTGTATGGGATAATGCTCCAACCAACTGAGCCAACTGACCAGGGAAAGATTATACAATTTTTTAAAAGATTTTATTTATTTATTTTTAGAAAGGAAGGAAAGGAGAGAGGGAGAGAAACATAAATGTATGGTTGCCTCTTGTGCATCCCCTGCTGGGAACTGGCCTGCAACCCAGGGATGTGCCCTGACTGGGAATCAAACCGCAGTCCCTTGGTTCACAGGCCCATGCTCAATCCACTGAGCTATACCAGCCAGGAAGATTATAATTTTTAAAAAAAATCATCATTCAAAGCAGGCCTCTAGTAGTTGAAACAGATGTCAAAACAAGAAGAAAAAAGGACAACTTGCAGAAAACAGAAACTGCCCAAGATGAAGAAAATGTTAAAATCTAATAAGTAAATGTTATCATTAACATGCTTACAGGAGTAGGATATTACATCGTGAAACAAAAAAAAAAGGGGGGATTGTGGTAAATTTCTTTTTAGAGAAAAAAGAGGGCCTAGAAGTGAAAAACTAAGAGTGGAAATAGAAAAACTGTAAGGGCTGAGAGGATAAGTGGAACTCTCCCAGATAGAAAACAGGAGAGAAAAGATAAGGAAGTTAGAGGACGGGTCCAAGAGGTTCAACAACCAAGTAACAGTTGCTCCAGAAACAGAGCAGAGCAAACAGAGAAATCATCTATGAAATAGTTCCAGGAAACTTTCTGGATCTGAAAGACAGGAGTTTCCGGAGAGACCCACTCTAAAGTGATTCACTGGAAACTTTCTGAGTACCAGGGCAGTAGGGAAGCTCCTACATGCTCTTTTCCTTAAACGATCTTATAGACTATTTAACTCTTCACACTTCCCTGTATTACAGTTCAACAAACGTTTCTCGAGTGTCTACCTTGTTTGAAGAACCAGAATTCAGGGTCCTTACCTATCTTAAAAACACAAGGCTCCAGACAAATCAGAACCTCTAGGGTGGGGGCCCAGGCACCAACAGTTTTACAAGTTCCCTAGGTGGTTCTAAGGTGCAGCCAGGTTCAAAACCAGTGCTAGGTGCTGCTGGGTCAGAGAACAGAAAGCTGTAGGACGATGGAATACTTAAGCACTAGTCCCTATACATAAGCTTACAATTAAGTTGAGGGGTATTTAAGTGGTAAACTACAACTGAATTCAGAGCAGAGTTAGTATATGTATAAGAGAAGGTTCAAAGGAAGAAGGGATTTCTGGCTAGTGCTGCAGTGTCCAAAATGGTGGCCATTTAAATGAACTTAAAATAAAAAATTCAGTTCCTCAGTCACACTTGTCATATGTCAAGTGCTCAAAATCCACATGTGGCTAGTGGCCACCACATTGGACAACCCTGTATCTGATGATGATATTACCATCATCACAGAAGTGTCTCTCAGCCAGTACTGAGCTAGAGAGGCCAAAAAGAAGACATTTACAGCTAGATTACAGCTAGCTGGCTGAATGAGAAAGCTGTTCACAGGGGCCAAAGGCACAGCTATGGTCAAAATGAGGAATGTTCAAATGTCAAAAAGTAGATAAATTTGGCTAGAGCTTGCTATCTGGAATCAGGCTACCTGGGTTCAAATTTAAGCTTTCTAGGACTTGGTCTCTTCATCTGTATAACAGGGATAATATAACCCATCTCACAGGGCTCTTGGGAGAACTAAATGCAATAACAATTATAAAGGCTTTACTGTAATACCCATGACCTAGAAGTTGCACAATAAATGAAATCTATTATTACCATTACTACTGCAAAACACATTCCAGGAAGCTGTGAAAGCGTAATTACCCGTGTGGCTCCTCTGATGGATTGCTAAAAAATGATTGTACTTGAAGACTTTGCCGCAGTCTTTACAACGGGCCTCAGGGCCAACTGAACGCTTTCTCCTACAGACCCTCTTGCCTGAACCCTGGTCTTCTTCATCCCCAACAAGTTTGTAATCTTTAAGTTTGATGGATCTCTGAATCCTCCGCTTGCTATACCGAGTCTGGTGGTCCTGTCCATCCTGAATCTTAGGATCACAGTTCTCGTCCTTTCCAGCGGGGCTTCCCTCCCCTCTACCTAGTTCACAAGCAGGCTCAGATTCTTCCATTTCTTTTGCTGCAGTCTGTTCATTCAGTATACCATTCTCTACCTCTTTAACCACAAAGTTTTGTCTGTTCTGAACTGACTTGTTTACTCTCAGCTGTATTTCTTCCTCTGCAGCCAGTTCTGATCTCCCCTCCTGCAAACTGTTGACTTTTCTTGGTCTTCCTCGTTTCCGCTTCGGCGGATCATTTTTCTTATTAGAAATAACAACCACTGGAGCACCAGGCGTATTCAAAGTTGTGGGCTTTGGGGAACTATGATTAATTTGAAAGTCTGTATATGCCTTTACCAGGTCGTAGACTTTTAAGAAGTGAGCAGTAGCCAGGATTTGTTCTGTACTTTTCTCACTGGCCTGGAGACAACCTGTGTAGATGAACTCCAGCAGGATACCAAATGTGTCGGCTACCATGCCTTCCAGCATATAAGTGGACTGGCCGATCTCCCCCTCTTCAGCAAACATCATGGAGAAGTATTCGCTACTAGCAGCCAGTAAGGCTTTATGGGCCCGGAAATGCACATTCTCCACAATTAAAGTAATGTCACAGAGAAAGCCTTTCTTCCTCTGGTCCTCAAAACTGGCCAGGACAGTGTTACTGTGAGTGTCTGAATGTACAACAAGGTGCCCAGAAGGCTCTGATGATGGTTCTGCCATTTTTTTTGGAAGACAAGAAAAATTAAGCCTGAAATGAGAAAACAATATTTAAAAAGGAGTAAGCACTAACAAGGTTAATCCCAGACCACATGAACCTACTATTTACTCCACGATGTTAACTGAAGTTTGCCACTTACCACTTTTAAAAGAGTATTTAAAAACTTAGCTCTGGGTTCTTTTTACTATTATACCATTATCTAGCTGGGTGAATTTCCAACATCTGAGTTACCTTTCAGGGTCTGTTTTCTCCTTTGCAAAATGAAGGAATCATTTTGGGCTCAAGCACCCCTAAAACTCATTCCCAGCACTCACTTTCTGTAGTTGCACAAATAACAGAATGAGAACTACAGTGTCTCGATTTCACACATTAATAGCCATTTTTTAAAAAACAAATATGAAAAGCGCATGTGCTTAGTATTTGTAATTAAATAATAACACAAGGCACAAGGGGCCTCGCTTTAAAAGGGCAGCGTGGAATGCCCAAGGCTGACGACAGACAGCGCTCGGCGAAGGAGGGGCGGATTGACGATTTCCGGATCCCGAGGGCGCTGAGCTGGGAGCGGGAGAGGCCCCCACCTGCGGGCCCGAGCCCCACGGGCCGGACCTAGGAGCAGAGGACTGAGGAGGGGTGGAGATGGCCGCGGGTCCCGTACCCACCGACGGTAGGTTTGGGGTGGACTTACCTCTCAGGGCTTCCAGCGAGGTGTGGTTCGCGGCAAGCCCACCCAGCGGCCTGGCGGGCGCACCCGCACCGGGCTCTCCCAGGTCTCCAGCTCCGCTGGGCCTGCCACTGGAGTTCCTGCGCCGCCCGCGGTTCAGCTCCTCCGCCGCCCCAGAGGCTGCCAACCCGGAAGCACCGGCGTGGGGCGCCGGACCACGTGGCCCTCGGAGACGCCCACCGGAGAGGCGCGGCGGGGCGGGCGGGGCGGGCGGGGCCTGAGGTCCCCCGCGGTGTCGCCTGGAGCGCCCCGGGAGGCCGAGTGTTGGCAGCGGAAGACAGAATTATGTTGTCACTCTGCAACTGTGGAAGTTTTATATCACACTGGACTTTTAGCTCCTCCCCGTCCACTATTATTGTTATTTGCCTCCTCAGTGTTTTCCAAATCTGCCTTCTTTTTCCCACTTCCGATGACTTAGGCCAAGGCAGTGGAGAGAGAGCTCTAGTCACACTGATCTGGGTACTATTGAGTGATCTTGGGCAAGTTACTTGTCCTCTCAACTTTTTTTTTTCACCCTACCTATAAATCGGAGATATAAACACTAGTTCACATGAGGCTGGGTTGCCTTGGGGTAAACAAGATTATATAATGAGTTTAGTAAGTGCCTGGTTTAATTCTTGACTACTATGACTAAAATTATTATTATTCTTTAGACTTTCATAATCTCTCTTCAAAATAAGGGTTTCCATATACCTTCCTGATAAAGACCAAGCTTCTCGATATGGTATCGATATGGTCTACAAGCCCCACCCAAACGCAGTTGCCTCCCTCCTCCTCTCTCCAGGTATTTTAACATTTTCTCTCTCAATTTATGCTTCACCAACATACAATTGCTTATACTTTATCCACCCCTAACAGACACTTCCAGATCCCCACCATACCAAGTTTGACAATCTTGGCCTCCAAGATTGCCACACTGGAGGTATAACTACCAGCCTGGCTCTTCTAAAATTGTATTCGTTTTTGTTAAAATTAGGCTTTTCTCTGAGGTTTCCTTCTTTCTCTTGAATAGCTTCTAAACACCAGAATGTGTGGGGTTCCAAATCGGTGGGTGGTGGGCTCTGCCCGACTTTCACACTCCCGCAGGAAGAGCAGTCAGTCCCGGGAGTTGACTGCCCCGTTGTGTCTCTGCCTCAAAGACTGCAGTAAACACACTGGCCCTCCACAAAGCCCCAGTCTAACAGCTGAAGATGACTCAGTGTAGCGTGAAGCCAGGTATTCCTACTCCTTCACTGGGTCGTTGCTCCCTAGGGCACAAGCTCTGCAAGGAAGTGCTGGGGCTGGTGGATCTTCCATCAGCCACTCACAGTAGAAACCAGCCCTTTCTTCAAGGCAATTTTGTTTAGAATCCATGTGATTTTTTTTAAACATTTGTTGCCCTTGTTTTTTTGATTAAGGCCAGCTGGTCTACCTTCAGCAGATCTTCATTACTAAACCTTGCAAAGAAAGGTTTTGGCTGCCTATGTATCATTCATCCAAAAAAACATTTATTCGGGGCCCACTAAGAGCCAGGCACTGTGTCAGGTGCTAGGGATGGATATAGCAACTAACAAGGCCCTTGCCCTCATTAAGCTTACATTCTTCTATGGGGAGAAAGGAGAAAAATTACAAGTAAATAAATAATGTAATTCCAGAGAATGTTAAGTTTTATAAGTAGTGGTGATGGAGCTCAACAGGAAGTGACAAAGTAGGTTCCATTTAAGCTGAGATCTCCATGATAAGAAGCCAGCTGTGTGAAGATCTAGAATAAGAATGTTCCAGGCAAGGGCAAAGCAAGCAGAAAGGCTCTGAGGCTGGAAATCAGCTTGGTGCTTTTGAGGGACAGAAAGGCCTGTGTGGCTGCAGCACAGTGACTGAGGGGGAAATGGCAGGAGATGGATTGGCGATAAGATGGCCAGATTGTGCAAATAAAACCCCAGGACATCCAGTAAAAATTTGAATTTAAGATAAATAATGAATAATATATCATGGGATATTCTTATGCTAAAAAATCCATTTAATGTCTGAAATTCAAACACAACCCAACATCCTGTGTTTTATCTGACAACCCTCACTGGAACAGAGCCTGATTTTGATAATATGGGAAGGTAATATTATGAAAAACCTTTCCACAACAAGATAGCTAGAAATGAAAACAGAAAATACATAACTGAGCTTAAAGTAGAATAAAGAAAATCCCAGGTGCCAAATAGAATTAAAAGCAAGGTAGTAAGCTAACCTCAAAGCCATGGAAATCCTAGGGGCATTTTATTAAATAAGAACCTTAGGTGTTAATGAGTAATTTGGGACCAGCAGACCAAGCCTTTGGTGTGTCTGAAGTAGGGGGTTGAAAAAGAGGATCTCCCACGGAAGTCCAGTTCTGCGGAAGGGCTACAGTTTTCATGAGAGGGTGGACTGGGGGGGGGAATTTTTTTCTGAGTTTAAGGGGAGATAGCAAGAAATCATGTCTTTCTTGATGTTGGCTCTGGGTGAGGAGGAAAAGTCTCTGAAAATTTGTGACCTGTCAGAATTTTTAAAAAATTCCCCCCCAAATCCTCTAAAAATTAAAATGTAATCAATGAAATTTAAAAATCAATGGATAACGTTTCAATAAAATCTATACATAACCACACACAAGAGTTTGCAAATAGGTCAAACAGTTGAAGACAGAATTTGTGATTTAGAAGGTGGATCTGAAGAAACAGCCTAGAAAGCTAGTCTGAAATAAAGAGATGGAAAGTATGGGAGGGATGTTGAGGGACCTGAACAGAATGAGAATGATTTATCCTGTAACATAATTGGAATTCCAGCTGCAAAGACTATTGAGAATGGGAGAGAAACAATATTTAAATATTTTATTTATTTATTTTTAGAGAGAGGGGAAGGGAAGGAGAAAGAGTGGGAGAGAAACATCAATGTGTGGTTGCCTCTCTTGAGTCCCCTGCTGGGAACTGGCCTGCAACCCAGGCATGTGCCCTGACTGGGAATCGAACCGCGATACTCTGGTTCGCAGGCCCGCGCTCAATCCACTGAGCTACGCCAGCCAGGGCAAGAGAAACAATATTTAAAGATAATAATGAGAATGTTCCAGAACTAATAAAAAAAATAAATCTACAGATTTGGGAAGCACAACAAATTCCAAGAATCCTAAACAAAAAAAGAAATCTATAGTTAGATATATTGTAGTCAAACTGCAGCACATCAAAGATAAAGAAATCTTAAAAAATATATAGAAATAAAATACTAATTACCTCTAAAGGAAACCCGGTTCCACTTTACAGATAACTTCTTGACAGCAACAATAGAAGTCAGAGTCTTTACTGGAAGGTATTTTCAAAATTTGCCTATTTTTCCCTTTTAAATATTATGTTCACAGCAAAACTGAGCAAATATACAGAGTTTCCATATACCTTTTGCCCCATACATGAACAAGCTTCTCCACTATCAACCTTCAACATCAGAGAGGTACAGTTACTGCAATTGAAAAATCATTGACTGGTAATACATGGACACATCATCTCCCAAAGTCCATAGTTTACGTTAGTGTTCACTCTTGGTGCTGTGCATTTTATGGATTTAGACAAATGTATAATGACATGTATTCACCATTGTAGTATCACACAGAATTATTTCACTGACCTAAAAATTCCCTGAGCTCTACCTATTTAGCCCTGTTTCCCTGCTAACCCCGAGAAACCATTGATTTCTTTACTGTCTCCATAGTTTTATCTCTCCCAGAATGTTGTATATTGGAATCATGTAGTATATGTTGCCTTTTCAAATTGGCTTATTTTACTTACTAATATGCATTTAAGGTTTCTCCAGGTCTTTTCATGGCTTGATAATTCATTTCTCTGTGGTAATAAATAATATTGCATTGTCCGAATGTATCACAATTTATTTATTCATTCATCGAGTAAAAGACATCTTGGTTGCTTCCAAGTTTTTGGTAATTATGACTAGAGTTTCTATAATCATCTTTGTGCAAGTTTTTGTGTGAACATAAGTTTTCAGTTCATTTGGATAAATACTAAGGAGTGTTACTGATGGATCATATGGTAAGAACATGTTTGGTTTTGTAAGAAACTATCCAAGTGTCTTCCAAAGTGACTGTACGATTTTGCATTCCCTCCAGCAATGAGTCAAAGTTCCTGTGGTCCCACATCCTCGCCAGTGTTTGACGTTGGTGGCATTCTGGATTTTGGTGATTCTAATAGCTGTGTAGTGGTATCTCATTGTTTTAATATGCATTTCCCTGATGATATATTATGTAAAGCACCTTTTCATATGATTATGTTCCATCTGCATGTCTTCTTTTATGAAGGGTTTGTCAGGCCTTTTGCCTATTTTTGACAGGGTTATTTGACTGAGTTTTAACAATTTTTTATATATTTTGAATGATAGTCCTTTATAAGTTATATATTTTGCAAGTATTTTCTTCCAGTCTACATACAATTTGTCTCATTTTCTTGACAGTGTCTTTTGCAGAGCAGAAGTTATTTCATTTTAATGAAGTCCAGCTTATCAGTGATTTCTTTTGTGGATCATACTATAGTGTGATATCTAAAAAGTGTTCAAAATTGTCTGGGTTTTCTCCTACATTGTCTTTCAGGAGTTTTATAGTTTTGCATTTTACATTTTAATCTGTGATCCATTTTGAGTTCATTTTTTGTGAAAGGTAAAAGGTCTGTGTCTGGTTTTATTGTTTTGCCTGCGGATGTCCAGTCGTTCCAGCACCACTTGTTGAAAAGACTGTCTTTGCTCCATTGTATTGCATTTGCTCCTTTGTAAAGATCAGTTGACCATATTTATGTGGGTATTGTTGTAGACCGCTCTGCCTGGTTTTAGGAATTGTATCTCGATCCCTTGTGGCTAAGGGTGAGGGATGACCTTTGGATTGCCAGCCGCAGGAGACAAAACTTGTCTCTGGTAGCAAATGCTGCCTCAGTTTTCTCTCCCTGCCCCCAAAGCTTGGTCGGAAGTCAATGCCGGGTAAGACCCCTCACAGTGGGGGGCAACCTAAGCCAGACTCGATCACTTGGGAGGCCTTCATGGAAGGGCTCGGGGGCTGCAACAAAGAGGGAGCAATGGACTCTTGTCCCCCAGCTTTGACAAGCCTGAGTCCCCATGTTCTCTGGGAGAAGTG